TCAGGTCCTAGGACAGCTGAATTTTGGAGGATGACATATTGCCCGTTGTTTCCTTATCGATATGTTTTTGCTATGTGTGCATGCAGGATTAAAATAATAAATAAATACTATTTTATTACTAGGGCCAGATTTATACCTGCTAGCTTAGGCAGGTTTGTGTTTCCCTTCCTTTTTTTTATTCTTATTGCCCCCCTATACTGTCTAACCTTGGTATAAAAATATTATCTACCATAATTGCGCTGACACTGGCAAAGGTTAAATAGGACACTTTGCTAGAGTTAATACAACTAGAACCTATGACTAAAAGAGTTCTCCTATTATAGTAGTTGTTTGGTCCCCAGTGCATAGACCCAAAATGAACAAAATAAAAGTGCAAAGAATGCTATATTCACCACAAAAATGCACAAACTGTGCAAGCAGTCTAGAACCTATTGTACATAGTAATGTGCTACTGGCAGTCGGTAACATGATGTGCGACAGTGTGTCACCCCGGAGTCTTGTTACCCTAGAAATCTGGCCCTGCCCATTACATGGATGTTGTACTTACAGTTGCAAGAAAAAGTATGTGAACCCCTTGGGATTACATGGAGTTTTGCATGAATTGGGCATAAAAATGTGCTCTGAACGTCATCTAAGTCACAACAATAGAAGAACACAGTCTGCTGAACATAATACTACACAAACATTAGATGTTGCCATGGTTTAATTGCACATAACATGTAAACATTCACAGTGCAGAGAGGAAAAAGTATGTGAACCTTTGCACTTAATAACTGGTTGACCCTCCTTTGGCAGCAATAACCTCAACCAAACGTTTCCTGTAGTTGCAGATCAGACCTGCACAACGATCTGGAGTAATTTTGGACCACTCCTCTTCACAAAACTGTTTCAGTGTAGCAATATTCTTGGGATGTCTGGTGTGAATCGCTCTCTTAAGGTCATGCCACAGCATTTCAATCAGGTTGAGGTCAGGACTCTGACTGGGCCACTCCAGAAGGCATATTCTGTGCTGTTGCAGCCATTGTTTTGTTGAATTACTTGTATGCTTTGGGTTATTGTCCTGTTGCATCACCTATCCTCTGCGGAGCTTCAGTTGGCGGACAGATGGTTGTACGTTTTCCTGCAAAATGTCTTGATAAACTCTGGAATTCATTTTCCCATCAATGACAACAATCCATCCAGGCCCTGAGGCAGCAAAGCATCCCCAAACCATGATGCTCCCTCCACCATGTTTTACAGTGGGGATGAGGTTTTCATGTTGGTGTGCTGTGCCTTTTTTTCTCCACACATAGTATTGCGTGTTCTTCCCAAACAACTCAATCTTGGTTTCATCTGTCCACAGTATATTTTGCCAGTAGTGCTGTGGAACATCCAGGTGCTCTTTTGCAAACTTCAAACGTGCTGCAATATTCTTTTTGGACAGCAATGGCTTCCTCCGTGGTGTCCTCCCATGTACTCCATTCTTGTTTAATGTTTTCCTTATTGTAGATGTGTCAACAAAAATGTTAGCATGTGCAAGAGATTTCTTTAGGTCTTTAGCTGACACTCTGGGATTCTTCTTTACCTCATGCAGCATTCTGCGCTGTGCTCTTGCAGTCATTTTTACAGGCCGACCACGCCTAGGGAGAGTAGCAACAGTGCTAAACTTTCTCCATTTGTAGACAATCTGTCTTACCGTGGACACATGAACATCAAGGCTTTTGGAGAAACTTTTGTAACTCATTCCAGCTTCATGCAAGTCAACAATTCTTGATCGTAGGTCTTCTGAGAGCTCTTTTCTGCGAGGCATGGTTCACATCAGACAGTGCTTTTTGAAACCAGTAAACCCAAAACAGGTGTGTGTGTTTTTTAAGGGCAGGACAGCTGTCAGCAACACATCCAATATCATCACACTGATTGGAGTCAAGGTTGGCTCACTCCTGGCTCCAATTAGCTCTGGGAGAAGTCATTAACCTAGGGCCTCACATACATACTTTTTCCTCCCTGCACTGTGAATGTTTACATGTCATGTGCAATTAAACCATGGCAACATTGAATGTTTGTGTAGTATTATGTTCAGCAGACTGTGTTCTTCTATTGTTGTGACTTAGATGACGTTCAGAGCACATTTTATGCCCAATTCATGCAAAACTCCATGTAATCCCACTGTTCAATACTTTTTCACAATAGGCAAGCAGTTGGAAAAGTCCAGGTTATGAGACACAGGTAGACATTTGAATTTGCTGTGGCCTACCCCCACTGAAATTCAATACTCTGATAGCATTGACACAGTTCTCTCACGTAGTGGATGGGCCTTCTGCCCAGATGCCAGGTTGTAACAATGGAGGACAAACATCTGGATGCAGATCAAATGTCCAGCCACTTCTGTCCCAATTTGCAGTCTCTCTGAGCTGCACAGGGCAGGAAACAGGGAACATATGCACTTATGGCAACCCAGAAAATTGTAGGTAAAGGATGGCAGTGCTTGCATCTGACATGGTGATTCAATAAAATTAAACGTTTTTGTACAATGCAATATTCTTCATACTGTATAGTCTCTACATAACTAACATTACATTAAGCAAAGTGGATCCTACATTATGCACTAGGGAATCATTCATTATAGGCTAATTTCCTTAGAAAGGGAACCAATGACAAAACTAAATTTTGGTGGGCGGAACAGGGGCAAATAAACAGGTAATCTGTGCTTGCCTTTGCTTTTGGGTGTCACAAAGCTCAAAGTCCAAGCGGAAGGACTGAGAACACAGACAAACTGCTGGATCTCCTGGGATGGCACAGCATAGGCAAGCAGTTGGAAAAGTCCTGAGAAGTTATGAACCACAGTACTCATTTGACTGAGTTGCAAAGGGACACCAATCCCAAGCTTGAAATTAATACTGCTGATTTAGTCATTTTATAGACACAGTTTTCTCACGGTGGATTTGGGCCTTCTGCCCACTGGGGGATGCCAGGTATAACAATGGAGCTGGCCATAGGAGAAAAAAGTCTGGATGCAGAGGTCAAAGACGTCCAAACTCACTTCTCCCAAGATGTGATTCAGTAATTATTTGAAATGCTGCACAGGGAGGCAAGCAAAGAACATAAGCACCCTTATTATATTGTCAGGGGTGTCAATTAGAAAATTAGTATTGTAAAGGAAATTGAATTCTATGCCTGGGGCTGTGCATCCAGACCGCTTTGTTTTCTTCAATAAAAGTTAAAATTTTTGTACACAATGCAATATTTTACATACTGTATAGTTCTACATATATAACATTACATTAAGCAAAGTGGATTCTCATTATGCCTGGGAATCATTCATTATAGTGTAATTTCTTTTTATTACATGTGGGCGAACAGGGTATTTTTGCTTGCCATCTGTTGCTTGCCTAGGAAGCACAATGAAAGGTTAAATTTGGCTGGGCGGAACAGGGGTATTGGGGTATATCTGTGGCTGTGCTTTTTGTACAAAGCTTCTTTAGCTGTAAATGCTGTGTGCAGTGGCATTAAATGTATTCACATAAGCATTTAAATTCTGCACTGCATTGCTGCTGGCTGGGGTTCCTCAGTTTAAGAGAGCTTTGCACCCTATAGGTGGAAATGTCTGAGAAGTTTCCAGAAGTATCAATTAATTAAGAGGTAAAAGTAAAAAAGGGTCCAAATCCAGCATTTGCGTGGAGTTTTAAAAACTGCATTTGTCTGGAAGTAGTTTTTAGGTTGTATGATGTTTATTATGTTTTACGTTCACGGTGTTCTCTGTTTTTGCAATCACTTTAATCTATTCAAATCTATTGAAACTGAAAGTAGTCATGACTGCTGAGAAGCCTAGGTGCATTTTGACGAGGGGCAGACTGACCATTTGGACATTCAGGTATTGGCCAAGGGCCCGGGGTAAGTAGGTGCCCTGGGTAAGTAGGGGGCCCAGTGAGAGTCTCACTGGGCACAATTCACTAAGCATTATCTTACCGCATCCGAGTATGCAGTAGGATACCACATTGCATTTTTAGAAAACATTTTGAATTCAGCAAAAAACGCTACTAAAATACTGCATAAGTTATTTTATCAAGCCATGCAGTATTTTAGTAGTGAAAACCATACAGTAATGTTTCAGCTGTCAGCGGGGTTCCCCATTGACAGCTGAATGTAAAAGAAAGAATTGCGAAAAAATCAACAAAATCATTTAAAAACCGGCAGATTGGATATGGATTTTGAGGGGAACCCCCATGCCAAAATCTAAAAAAAAAATGGCTTGGGGGTCCCCCCCCAAAATCCATACCAGACCCTTATCCGAGCATGCAGCCAGGCAGGTCAGGAAAGGGGGGAGGAATAGCGAGCCACATGCCCTCAACATGGGGGGTGCTTTGGGGGCGGAGGGGGTTCTACCCCCAAAGCACCTTGTCCCCATGTTGATGGGGACAAGGGCCTCTTCCCCACAACCCTAGCCAGAGTTTGTGGGGGGGTCTGTGGGTGATGGGGCTTATTGGAATCTGGAAGCCCCCAGATACCCCCCCATGTGAATAAGTATGGGGTACATGGTAAATGAAAAAAGACAGGAGACAGTCTTTGTTAAGTCTTTTATTAAAAGAAGAAAATAAAAGAATGCCCCCTGTCACGGAGTGCCCGTAGCTTCCCCACCCCCCTTTGCCCTTGTAGCTTCCATGAACGGTGCTGGGCCAGCCATTGCTGAGGCAACCCAGCAGTGTCCCACACGGCTTTTAAAAAGACTGGCATAGGAAGCAGCCCTCCTCTTTGTTCCTGTGTACACTGCTGGAATCATCTAACTCCCTGAAAACCGCTGAGAGGCTCAGGGGGGGGGACCGAGAATCCGCAGCCATCCCCACTGCGCACTCTGCAGACCCCCCAAAGGTCAGGACTGTAGCCCTCTGCAATACCCCAGGGTAGGGAGTACCCGCTGCCCTCCGCTAAATATCCCAGGGTGGGAGTCTCCGCAGCTCTGCATGAGCCCCCTCCTCAAAGGTCCAACCCCACAGCTGAGACCCTACCAGACCCTGCAAGCCTGTCTACTGAGCACCCCTGCACCCTTTTCCGCTGCTGAGTGCCCTGAGAGCTGCTGCTGAGGGACCCCGCACGTTGTACGTGGCTGCGTGTCCCTGGAAGCTATCTGCTGCTGAGTGCCCTGGGAGCTGCTGGTGAGGGACCCCGCACACTGTCCATGGTTGCATGTCCCTGGAGGCTGCCTGTTGCTGAGTACCCTAGGACCTGCTGCTGAGGGACCCCGCACACTGTCCATGGCTGCGTGTCCCTGGAACCTGTCCGCTGCTGAGTGCCCGGGGAGCTGCTGCTGTCTGCTGATCGCTGGTTGTCCCTGGAACGCTGACCGCTGGTCGTCCCTGTCTGGAGCATCCTGCCGCTGAGGGTCTGAAAGCCGCTTACCGTGAGTTTCCTGAACTGTCCTTGTCGTGCGCACCGACCACCCGTGTCCTGAATTGTCCCTGTCGTGCGCACCGACCACCCATGTCCTGAACTGTCCCTGTCGTGCGCACCGACCACCCGTGTCCTGAATTGTCCCTGTCGTGCGCACCGACCACCCATGTCCTGAACTGTCCCTGTTGTGCGCACCTACCACCTGTGTCCTGAACTGTTCCTGTTGTGCGCACCGACCACTCGTGTCCTGAACTGTCCCTGTTGTGCGCACCGACCACCCGTGGCCTGGACTGTCCCTGTTGTGCACACCGACCACCCGGGTCCTGAACTGTCCCTGTTGTGCTAGGCCAGACTCCACAGCTAGAGTCCCATTGAGTCCCCGATGTCCCTAGAAAGCAGGGTGGGAGCTGTGCTAGGCCAGACTCCACAGCTAGAGTCCCGTTGAGTCCCCGTGAACCCGATGTCCCTAGAAAGCTGGGTGGGAGCTGTGCTAGGCCAGACTCCACAGCTAGAGTCCCATTGAGTCCCCGTGAACCCGATGTCCCTAGAAAGCTGGGTGGGAGCTGCTCTGAGGCCAGACTCCACAGCTAAAGTCTCCGGGAGCCTGCTTACAGTGGGTGTCCCTACAAGCCGCATGTCGCGGAGTGCCATGAACTGTCCGGATTGAGTGTCTTTCAGAGTTTATTAAAGTTTTTGTGTGTTCTCCATCTTCTTTGCGTGTTCTGTCCTCTGCCTACGCTTCCGTCGCACCCCCCCAAAGTAGATCCAACATCAATCACGATGCCCACCGCTGCCGCCACTACCCGAGAAAAGAAAAAAAATAGGGTGGCCCCGCCCCTTACATATTTAAGAACTGCCAAGCCAGCGGAGCAGTTAGACAGCTGGGAGCTAGCGTCGGAAGCAGAGCCTTTTTTTTTCCCGGGTAGTGGCGGCGGGCATCGTGATTGACATTGGATCTACTTCGGGGGACATTTTATATTTTTCTTCTTTTTTAATAAAGGACTTGTCAAAGACCGTCTCCTGTCTTTTTTTCACACTACACTTTTTTTTGTGAATGGGTAGCGGTACCATGTTCCCATAATCATTCACATGGGGGAAGGGATCTGGGGGCCCCCTTTCTAAAGGGGGCTTCCAGATTCCGATAAGTCCCCTGCCCGCAGACCCTCAAAACCACAGGCCAGAGTTGTGGGGAAGAGGCCCTTGTCCCCATCAACATGGGGACAAGGTGCTTTGGGGGGAACCCCCCTGCCCCAAAGAACCTCCCCATGGTGAGAGCATGTGGCTTAGTATGGTTCAGAAGGGGGGAACGCTCGCTCGTCCCCCCCTTTCCTGACCTGCCTGGCTGCATGCTCGAATAAGGGTCTGGTACGGATCTTAGGGAGGACCCCATGCCATTTATTTTAAATTTTGTTGATGATGTTGTTTTATTGTTTTTTAGATTATTTTTAATGCCCTTTCTATGCAGCTGAGCTGCAATATGTAGGTGGGCTGTTGTGTGGGTGTGGCTTCAGCTTGAGTGTAGGCAGAGACACAGGGGGCCCCATTATCTCTTATTTCCTGGGAGCCCCATGATTTGTCAGTCCGCTCCTGGTTTTGACCACTAACGTAACAAAAAACCTTGCCCCCCAAAACGACACAGAGGCTGATTAAGTTGGAACTAGGGCAAGGTCACAGCTTTATTAAACTTTCCAAAATGTAACAGCATTCAAAGAAACCATATAACAAAGCCAGTCATGGTTATACTGTGAGCATCCCTAACAAAAACACAGATAGTCTAAGAGGCCTGTCTGCACCCTCAGTGCCAGACAGGCATTAAACTGACCCCAGAATTAAACTTGAGGGCATAGCCCATAACAATATCAACCGCTGGCAAGGTAAAACTTCCAATAAAGCTGTGATGAAACTCACAAGTGGGAGGGTGGGCAACTCGTGTGACATCTTAATCTCCTTAGATTAGTGGGACATGCCCCTGCATAGCCTTTTTCTATAGTTCAGGCTCCACCCAGTTACCTCATGTCATGATGGCCAACCTATTGGAGCCACTTAACATCCCTGTTTTAGGTTTACTCCCACGTAGCTGCCAACCTTCCAGCAGTCAAGGCTCCCTTTCCCTAGGAGGAGGGAGGGGGTCAAGAGGCCTTCATTTTGCTTGACTGAGAAATATATATATGTATTTTTATATATATATATATATATATATATATATAGTGAAGGAAATAAGTATTTGATCCCCTGCTGCTTTTGAATATTTGCCCACTCACAAAGAAATTATCAGTCTAAAAATCGAGTAGTAGGTGTATTGTAACACTGAGAGACAGAATAGCAACAAAAAATTCAAAAGAAATGCGTGTCTAACAAATTATGCACTGATTTGCATGTTCATGAGGGATATACGTATTTGATCCCCTTCACAAAACATGACTTAGTACTTGGTGGCTAATCCCTTGTTGGCAATCACATAGGTCAGATGTTTCCTGTAGTTGGCCACCAGGTTTGCACACATCTCAGGAGGGATTTTGGCCCACCTCTTGCAAGATCCTCTCCAAGTCTTTAAGGTTTTGTGGCTGATGTTTGGCAACTCGAACTTGCAGCTCCCTCCGCAGATTTTCAATCGGATTAAGGTCTGGAGACTGGCTAGGCCACTCCAGGACCTTAATGTGCTTCTTCTTGAGCCACTCCTTTGTGGCCTTGGCCGTGTGTTTTGGGTCATTGTCATGCTGGAACAACCATCCACGACCCATTTTCAATGCCCTGGCTGAGGGAAGAAGGTTCTCACCCAAGATCTGACGGTACATTGCCCCGTCCATCGTCCCTTTGATGCGGTGCAGTTGTCCTGTCCCCTTAGCAGAAAAACACCCCCAAAGCAGAATGTTTCCACTACCATGTTTGACAGTTGGGATGGTGTTCTTGGGGTCATCAGCAGCATTCCTCCTCCTCCAAATATGGTGAGTTGAGTTGATGCCAAAGAGCTCAATTTTTGTCTCATCTGACCACAACACTTTCAACCAGTCCTCCTCTGCATCATTCAGATGTTCAGTGGCAAACTTCAGACGGGCCTGGACATGTGTTTTCTGGAGCAGAGGAACCTTGCGAGCACTGCAGGATTTCAATCCTTGTCGGCGTGGTGTGTTACCAATTGTTTTCTTGGTGACTGTGGTCCCAGTTGCCTGGAGATCATTGACAAGATCCTCACGTGTAGTTCTGGGATGATTCCTCACTGTTCTCATGATCATTAACACTCCACGAGGTGAGATCTTGCATGGTGCACCAGACCTAGGGAGACTGACAGTTGTTTTGTGTTTCTTCCATTTGCGAATGATTGCACCAACTGTTGTCACCTTCTCACCAAGCTGCTTGGCGATAGTGTGGCAGCCCAGTCCAGCCTTGTGTAGGTCTAGCAATCTTGTCCCTGACATCCTTGGACAGCTCTTTGGTCTTTGCCATGGTGGAGAGTTTGGAATCTGATTGATTGCTCCTGTGGATTGGTGTCTTTTATACAGGTAACAAAATGAGATTAGCAGCACTCCCTTTAGGAGACTGCTTCTAATCTCAGCTTGTTACCTGTATAAAAGACACCTGGTAGCTAGAAATCCTGCTGAATGATAGAGGATCAAATACTTATTTACCTCATGAATGTGCAAATCAATGCATAATTTGCTAGACATGCATTTCTTCTGAATTTTGTGTTGCTAATCTGTCTCTCAGTGTTACAATACACCCACCATTTGATTTTTAGACTGATCATTTCTTTGTGAGTGGGCAAACATTCAAAATCAGCAGGGAATCAAATACCTATTTCCTTCACTATATATATATACTGTATATATATATGTGTGTGTGTATTTATTGTATTTCTACAGTATATAGACCACACCATATATCTTTTTTTAACACTTATTGGCAATTATAGACTGCAGTTTCAACAGCTGTAACCTGAAAAGTTAAAGGTTCCTTACACCAAAACCATCACCCCTACCTTTTGAAGTGTTATAAAGGAAATTTAAGATATTTCTTCCAAGCAACTGAAGAAATCATTTGGATGGTACTTATTGTTGCACTGTAGCTCTCTAACACCTGTGTCCTAGGCTGTAATATATAAACTACTAGCACAGCTCTCACTTTTTTTAAACATCAATCGAGTGACTTGAAGACTGAACTAAGTGGTGGTGTTCAGCAGGGTGGCATTTCATTACAGAATAAGTATATAATCTCATTTTATCTGTTACCTTTCATATTGTCTTTTGGTCAGTTGATTAAAAAAGCACTATTTTTGGTACAAATGTAAGTGTGATCAGTTAATGAGAATTCTTTTACCTAGTAAACAATATCTAATCTGTCTCATATATAACATGTATAGGTTAAGGCTTTTTTTCATGTGTAAAGTGTTAATGGAAATAAAGATGCTATGCTTTTACTAAATATTGGATGTTCCACAATGATCCATTTTAATAGATTATGTAAGAAGATTCATTTCAGTGCTAAAGGAGTTAAACAGATTTAGAAAACGTTCGTCAAAAAGTTATATAAAAAAGGATATGTAATAAAAGCAGCCCATGTAATGGCTAAATATTGACAAGTAATTAGAATGAGAGGAGAGCAAGCTAAATTAAGTCCAATATCTTGCTGCTGAAATTAAATTGGTTGTCAAAGGAGAATTCAAGGTGGAGAAGATAGAAGATGCTGGTACAACATTTCAAAGCAATTTTCTACCGCGTCTATTTTCCCTATGGAGTTTCATGTGATTCATATGCGACCTACTGTGTAATTTGCATGAAAGACTATCAGAAGTGTGTGACATTCTATTTCTTTTTCTGTAAATCCTCGGCCTTGCTTTCTGCTGCATTACCATCTGTTCCATGCACAGGGGGACACTTGCTCTGTCACTGCTAAACTGGCTGCTCGCTGCCCTTGGATAGTAATAATAACCCTGCCACTCTCTAATTTTCAACATTTCTGTCCCAAAAAGATCTGTTCCCTGCCTGGATCAATTTACAGCTGGCTCATTGACACGTCAACATATACAAATACACTTGCATTTTCTGTACTTTACTTGAATTCACTTTGCCAGATTATGCCACAATAACATGTAGAAA